CTCCGATGTTTCATCAATTATCAACAGGATAATTGGGCTGAACTGTTACCACACACAGAGGTGGCGTATAATAATTCTGTACACAGCAGTACTGGCATGACCCTTTTAAAGTTGTGTTTGGTCAGGACTTTGTGCCAATTTCTGAATTGCCTCAAGAGAAACTGCAAATTTTATCCTTGTCTGAGTGGAGTGATCAAGTTCGGCAGTTTTGGTCCATGACCCGCAAAGCATTGGATGTGGCCCACCAGGCTCACAAAAAACAGGCGGATAAGAAAAGGGCTAAGCCAAAAGAGTACCAAGTTGGGGATAGGGTGTTTTTGTCCACCAAGTTTCTGCAAACCACCCAAAAATCGAGGAAGTTGGAGCCGAAGTACGTAGGTCCATTCCCCATTATAAAAATCATAAATCCTGTATCGGTGAAGTTGGAGCTGCCGAAGAACCTTAGAAGAATTTATCCTGTATTTCACGTGAACCTGTTGAAACCAGACCACACTTCTTTCTTTCTTCCTTTCTTCCGCCTCAACCTTCACCTTCGGTCCCTCTTCTTATTAAGGGAAATCAACATTTTGAAATTAAAGAAATCTTAAGAGTCCAGAAAACATAGAAGTTGCATTCAGTATTTGGTCTCCTGGAAACATTTTCCCCCTTCCCAGGCTGAATGGGTCGACAAATATCATGTTAGGGCTCCCAGAATTTTGCAGAAGTTCTACGCCAATTATCCTGATAAGTCTTGATATTAGGATAGATGTGTATACAATATTGTTATTTTGTATTGTTTTTCTCTCTTTTTCTGCAGGGGTGATATCTCTTTCTGAAGGAGGGCCGGATGTCAGCTTCTGTTTCACTTACTTGCTTTCGGCTGCCATGGCAACCGGGGGGGGCATGGTATTTGGGATGTGAATAATTGGTACAGGAGTGATAGTCATAAAGGGAGTTTTGTTCTCACCATCTTCTGATCATGTTATTGGCCGATGTTTGGACCTGGTCAAGGCCAACCGTCCTGCATACCAACCTGATGATGGTTCTTGGAGATGTAACCCACATGATACCTAAGGGAGTTGCAGTGGGCAATGGGGTGGGGGTTGTTGGAGGGAGGGGGCTGGGCAATGTTTGATATGTAAGATTTTGCGCTTTTCTGACTCAGACCTTGCTTTTCTTTCGTAGCTATCTTTTCATAACCAGTAAAAGTATTTTAATTCCACAAACAATGGGGTTAGGAGTTTTCTTTCTTGGTTATTGAGGAAGGCATGCCTGACATTAAGCAAGGTCTCAGCTCGCACCCATCCCGGAGTTAAAAGTTTCTGTGGGGGGAGCACCCAAATATCTAACTCCTGCAGCAAACAGGAGAAGGTAATGGCAAGGGTCACAACCAGCGGAAAACCAGAAGATGACTGGCAGGCAGCTGAAAGAGAGGCTGTCATGATGACACATGCTTTACATCTTCTTTAGGAGGTTTGGGAGCGACGACACGTCCATGTAAGTCTTGCTGAAAGGGAAAGTGGATTAGCCGAGCAGGCGGAGGGAGGAGCAGAAAACCTGATTAGCCCTGAAACCTCCCTGAAAACAGCTACCGGAGCTGGGCAAGAGGGAGGGGCCCCAGCCACAGCAGCAGGTCATGCTCCCCCAAGGAGGAGGGAAACCCCCAAAGGCACCAAATGCTCAGAT